CCATCAGATTCTTCAGCTCCACCAATTATGAAGAGCCTAACAAGCCTAAAAAAATTAATTAGAATACATAAGCATCAACTCATATATTTTTTTATATACAATGAACCAGCACAAACTCTTGACTCTTTTCATTTCAAATACCTTTGTAAAATATTCACAACAAAGGGAAAAAATGTATGTTAGGATTTTACATCATGCATGTCATACACTAATTTAAATGATAGGTCAGTAGTTTTATTAATATGACCAACCTTTGTATAAAATTCAAATATGCAGTTACAAGAATGTCAGATTTAATTACAAATAATAAATATGCATAAATTCATTAAAAATATTACAAAGTCTTTTGACTGGTTATTATTCAACTAACAATACCTTCTCCTATGCTTAAGAAAGAACACTAAAATGGAATATCTTCTTTAGGTATTGAGAGGGTTATATTCAATGATCAGATTCTGCAAGAATGTATTCTAGATAATCAAAATCTTATCGCTGAGTTTAGTATCTCAATATTTCACTTCCCATACCTTGGAAAAGGCAACTACACTATCTTAGTCTCAAAGCATTAATCCAACCTACTCCTAGTACTTCTATATTCATCTGCTTTGTATTTTCTAAGATCATACTAAAAGGGATTAAAAGTAATTAGGGACAGTGTGAGAAAATATTGCACTTTTAACATGACTGTGTTAATTACCTACATCAACCTACTCTACACTGAAGAGAAATCTATTAGAGGAGTCCTCAGGGATCAGGCAGTCCATCAGGTAGGTCAAGAGTGTCCTTGGTCTTCCCTTTTGAGAGTAACTTAGGAGCTGATAGCATGATGGCAACAGCACCGAGAGGTGCTGTTATCAATATTACCAGAACAGTAATAGTTAAGACCTGTAAAGGAAAAGAATTTAACACCAACTATGCATCTATATTTATTAAATTGAAATAAAGCAATAAAAGATGCCAAACTATTTTATGGGTAACCAACAATGAATTATAAAAAAAAGTTATGTATTCTTTATTTACAGAGTACATGCAACTGTAACCCCTATGATCCAGATGATGTGACCATCATGTCATGAAACAATTAGGTTTAAGGGGTAGGTGACATGACATCACGGAAAAATTGAGCTGAGGGCTGGGGTGATGCCATCATGAGTATTTTGGCTGAAGGCAAGAGTGACAGGAATGACTCACTACAAGTACACAAAGATCTTGGAGTGTGATTAAATTCGTGGGCATTTAGGATGGGGTATTTGCACAATTTCCATCAATAAATGAGTGTGGAATATACCTTCTGTGAGAATGCCTGGAAAAGCCCTAGCTCCTGGGAGGATACTATTGCCATGCTCAGGATCCTATTCCTGCCTACCCTGACAGTCAGCACTGGTTGTATTACAGAAAATTAAATGTTATGTTATTATAACATTGACTTATGGATTACATTATGGATAAAGCAAATTGAGCAACATACAGACACTGGAAAATGGCAAAAGAGAGAGAGAGAGAGAGAGAGAGAGAGAGAGAGAGAGAGAGAGAGAGAGAGAGAGAGAGAGAGAGAGAGAGAGAGGAGAGAGAGAGAGAGAGAGAGAGAGAGAGAGAGAGAGAGAGAGAGAGAGAGAGAGAGAAGGGGTGGGGGGGGAGAATGAAAGGGAAAGGGAAAGGGAAAGGAAAAGGAAAAGGAAAAGGAAAAGGAAAAGGAAAAGGAAAAGGAAAAGGAAAAGGAAAAGGAAAAGGAAAAGGAAAAGGAAAAGGAAAAGGAAAAGGAAAAGGAAAAGGGAAAGGGAAAGGGAAAGGGAAAGGGAAAGGGAAAGGGAAAGAGAAAGGGAAAGGGAAAGGGAAAGGGAAAGGGAAAGGGAAAGGGAAAGGGAAAGGGAAAGGGAAAGGGAAAGAGAAAGAGAAAGAGAAAGGGAAAGGGAAAGGGAAAGGGAAAGGGAAAGGGAAAGGGAAAGGAAAAGGAAAAGGAAAAGGAAAAGGAAAAGGAAAAGGAAAAGGGAAAGGGAAAGGGAAAGGGAAAGGAAAAGGAAAAGGAAAAGGAAAAGGAAAAGGGAAAGGGAATAAGAAAGGGAAAGGGAAAGCCTCAGCGGATGGGCGGCCCTTCGCCCCCCACTCCAAGATCGGATATTTAAGGACCCGGTTTGACCCGTTCAAGCAGAGTCAGTCGCCTGCCGCTGTTGGGTCAAGTTAAGGTCCCTCTGGGCCTTAGGGTGTCGCGGTCACTTCTGCCCCGCTGGGCTGTGGCCGCGCCGTGACCTTCCGTGACCCAGACTTGTCGCAAGATTGTGTATTCATATCCCTGTGTGCTGTACTCTTAGTAAATAAAGAGTCTCCAGCTACCTAGCTTTTACTACTCTTGTTCATCAATGTATAAGGCATTCAGTATATGCCCTCTACACCCCTCCCCTCCCCTCCCCTCCCCTCCCTCTAAACCCAACCCAACCCCTCCCCTCCCCTCCCCTCCCCTCCCTTCCCCTCCCCTCCCCTCCCCTCCCCTCCCCTCCATTCTCCATTCTCCATTCCTCTCCTCTCCTCTCCTCTCCTCTCCTCTCCTCTCCTCTCCTCTCCTCTCCTCTCCTCTCCTCTCCTCTCCTCTCCTCTCCTTTCCATTCTCCTCTCCTCTCCTCTCTTCACCTCTCCTTTCCATTCTCCTCTCCTCTCCTCTCCTCTCCTCTCCTCTCCTCTCCTCTCCTCTCCTCTCCTCTCCTCTCCTCTCCTCTCCTCTCCTCTCCTCTCCTTTCCATTCTCCTCTCCTCTCCTCGCCATTCTCCTCTCGTCTCCTCGCCATTCTCCTCTCCTCTCCATTCTCTTCTCCTCTCCATTCTCTTCTCCTCTCCATTCTCTTCTCCTCTCCATTCTCTTCTCCTCTCCATTCTCCTCTCCTCTCCTCTCCTCTCCTCTCCTCTCCTCTCCTCTCCTCTCCTCTCCTCTCCTCTCCTCTCCTCTCCTCTCCTCTCCTTTCCATTCTCCTCTCCTCTCCTCGCCATTCTCCTCTCCTCTCCTCGCCATTCTCCTCTCCTCTCCATTCTCTTCTCCTCTCCATTCTCTTCTCCTCTCCATTCTCTTCTCCTCTCCATTCTCTTCTCCTCTCCATTCTCCTCTCCTCTCCATTCTCCTCTCCTCTCCTCTCCTCTCCTCTCCTCTCCATTCTCCTCTCCTCTCCATTCTCCTCTTCATTCTCTTCTCCATTCTCCTCTCCTTGCCTCTCCTTTTTCCTCTCCCTTCTCCTCTCCTCTCCATTCTCCTTTCCATTCTCCATTCTCCACTCTTCACTCCTCTCAACATTTCACAACAAAATCTACAGAAAAACTTTGACGAACACTGGAAAGTCACAGCAACTGTCTCAGCCACAATCAACAGACCTTGCAGGCTTTAGGGGGTAAGAACCTGATACGGAGGATTATTCACGGACAAAAATGAAACGTACCTGTTCTCCTAAACGTACTATCTCTGGTCCAGCTTCAGATTTTTGTGCAAAGTCAAGAGCTTGAGAGCCAATGGCTGCCTGCAACATACAATATAACAGCATTATCAAATAGTTAACCAACAAACATCATATCTAAACTGTTTACTTCAAAAATTACCCTATCAGTAACATATCACAAAAGAAAAAAGGAAACTTTTGTTATCTATCCTCACAGACAGTGACTGAAAGCATTAACAAAGAACAGAAAGCATATTACCTGCACTGTAGCCTTTGGTACCCATGCCAGGGCCACAAATAAGCGTTCTTTGATATTCAAATTTCCACCCATCACAACAAGAAATGAGGTGGTCATACGGAAGACTAGGCCAATGGCAAGCGTCACTAGACCCCATCCTACAGTGCCAATGTCTAGCTCACTGACCTGATAAGACAGATATATACATATATTCAATGACAGAATTGAACATTGGACATATCAAATCAATAAGCTGATTTTCTGTTCATTTCTAGCCATTTCATTTCCAATTCTATCTTCTCTGCATCAGCTGCAACCCTGCTGCAGATTTAGCCAATCACCTATTTCTAAACCAATGCCAATAGGCATGGCATATACATACATGCCATGCCCACTGTGAGTTTACTTTATTAACAGTTTTACACAGAGATGGCTACACCTGTACTAAGTCACTAATGAGCCAATTACAAGCAGTGCCTGTCTCGCCCTATTACACCTTCCCTTGATTTACAAAAATATTTTACGTTATCTTACTTTGCTACTACTAATGTTTATAATATTATAGTAATTATAATATTTATAATAAAAATAATACCATTAATATTCATAGCACTAGTAAAAGTTATGTTTTTCCCACCAATTCAAGGAAAGGTGAAATTAGGTAAGATCACAAGGTCTACTAATTAACTCCTTTGTGGCTAAGCACTAGCAGAGCCATCTATGTGCAGAGACATATTCACAAAAAATATATAAAATTAGCAGAGCATTTTCCCCATTTTTTATTTAATTTTCCCCATTTTTTATTTAATTTTCCCAACAGCATGTGTGTGTGTGTGTGTGTGTGTGTGTGTGTGTGTGTGTGTGTGTGTGTGTGTGTGTGTGTGTGTGTGTGTGTGTGTGTGTGTGTGTGTGTGTGTGTGTGTGTGGGTATGGGTGTGGGTGTGGGTGGGGGTGGGTGTGCGTGTGTCCATGTATCCATGTGTGCGTGTTATATTATGTTTTGTTATATGTATATGTATATTTATGTATGTATGTATGTATGTATGTATGTATGTATGTATGTATGTATGTATGTATGTATGTATGTATGTATGTATGTATGTATGTATATATGTATGTGTATATATGTATGTGTGTATATATGTATGTGTGTGTGTGTGTGTGTGTGTGTGTGTGTGTGTGTGTGTGTGTGTGTGTGTGTGTGTGTGTGTGTGTGTGTGTGTGTGTGTGTGTGTGTGTATGTATGTATCTATGCATGTATGTATGTATGTATGTATGTATCTAAGCATGTATGTATGTATGTATGTATAATATATATATGAATAATATATATATGAATAATATATA